GAATTAAATTTGCAAACGATGAGAAGTGAGTTCCCTCTTTGCTGGGGTTTCAGCTGTGGCTGCAGCAAGCTGTGGCAGGCATCAAGGAGGGCAGACATCAGACTGCATACTCTGCTTTTCTTGTTTGGTTTTTGGGGTGGTTTTTTGGTTGTTGAACCATTACACTTGCTGAAGGGATTTCAGTTGCTCTCACAGCCCTGAGTGCAACACAGCTTTGCACTGTGGAGCTCTTTCTTTTTTAATTGTTCTTAATAAGGACAGGTGCAACAGAGAGCACAGAGACTTCTCAGGGATGTGCTAATTTGGTCCACGTGATTCACATGATTTATTCTTTTCAAGTGTATGTTACACATTAAACAGTATCATTGGGACATTGAAGCTTTGGGAAGATTTCTCTGCTGTGCATTTGCATAAGCCACCCTGCACGTTATAATATTGTCTCTTTTCACTGAGTCTTTCATTCAGGAGCCTGAGTGTTTGTGAGTTTGGTTTCCAGTACTGAAACCAAACCAGTCCTTGGGTGATGATGCTTTACAGTGGGGCGAGCCACTTTTCTCTGGTCTAAGCAGCAAATGGCTTTTACAAGGATGACTTTCACTAGTAAATTTTCTATAGATGAGATGAATGGTGCCCAAGATAATGGTGTTTTCAAGATCCGAACTGCAGTTAATGACCCACAGGACACGTTTGTCATTGTGGTTTCCCTGAAAATCCAAGTGTGTTGGTGTTAGAGAGGCATGGGATTGCACTGAGTTTTCCTGACATTGTTGTCTCTTTTACAGTGTGAAATACATTTCCTGCTCCCTGCTCATCCTTCATGCTGAGGATGACCCAGTGGTACCATTTCATCTGGGAAAGAAGGTATTATATGTGGCTCTGGAAACTGATCTAGTGGGAGGAACTGGTGTGGATGGAATGACATCCCAGCCAGGCCAAAAGTCAGCAATAGGAAGGTGTGTGTAGAAGTGCACAGCCCAAAGGGGCTGCAGATTCTGTGGTATTGGAGGTGGCAAATCAATAGTGAAACGGAGCTAGAGCTAGCAAAGCTGGTCAAGCAGGGCCCATTAACCCACCCCTGAGAGGGGTGCTGGTTTGGCAGGGGTAGCTGGTTTGCAGTGACATGTGTCCCTCACCTGCCTCTCTTTAAACTCAGCTTTACAACATTGCTGCAACATCACGGAGTTTCCGAGACTACAAAGTGCAGTTTGTTCCGTTCCACACAGACCTCGGCTACCGGCACAAGTACATCTACAGGAGTCCAGAGCTACCTCGAATACTGCGGTAACAGCCCAACTAACCGGGGTCTGCTCTGGCTTGGGTGGGAAACTGGGGCCCGGGGCTTTGGGGGACACTGTGACCTGCGCCCGGGAGCAAGAGAGATGGGTAATGGGCGCCTGTATTGGCAGCTCTTCTGAAAACGCCTTTGGTCTCCAGAGTGGGTGAGATGCTGGGGCTGGCTTAGCACAAAGTCAGAGCCCTCCAGATCCCTGCAGAGCAGGTTTTGGAAAGGAGAGCCACAGAAAGCTGGGAGCACTTCTCCTCTCTGGCTCATCTCTGCTGTGAGCTGGATGCTCTGGAGGAGTTTGCAGAGCAGCTACTTCTGCTTGCCTCGTGGTGGGAGCTGCTGAGGAGTGAGAGCAAGGCTCAGTGCTGTTCCCTGTAGCTGCGGGTGCTTGAGCCTTGGTACTGAGGTTAATTTGTGACCCTGCTCATGGCAGGGGGGTTGGAACTAGATGATCTTTAAGGTCCCTTCCAACCCAAACCGTTCTGTGATTTGCTAGGGCAATGGGGAGACCTGCAGGCTGCAGCACGCACCAGAGTGTGGGAGAGCCAAGTGTCACTGCTGTCTCGTTTCCTTTCCTAGGGAATTCCTGGGAAAATCTGAACATGAGCATCATCACTGAAGACTAGCTGCTTGGCAGCACAGAGATTTTCCTCTCTTTCCTTCCTCTCTCTCCTTTTCCTCTCCCCTCCCTGTGGATCAGTCTGCCATTCTTCCATCCCTGGCACTAGAGGAGGTCAGGGATTCCCACTCCGGTCCTGATGTGTACCCTTGGCAACTCCAGCTCCCAGCATCAGCATCTGTGATGGTAGAAGAAAGAAGTTGTTGGCTTCATTTTGACGTGAATGGAGGGGCGAGAACAGCCCAGGAGCCAGTACCAAACCATGAAAAATGTAAGCACAACAAAGCCTGGCCAATCCAGCCTGGTACCGCTGAGGACAGACATTCCTAGGACACGTGTGTCATGACCAAGGGTGTTTCCTTCACTTTAAACACTGCTGCTGTTTTTGGATCATGTAGAGACTTATTTGTAGGCGAATGGCTTTTGCCGTGTGTCCATACCACAGTTGTCTTTCTTGAGTTTGAGGTGTTCTCTTTCTAGGAAATACATGTTTTGCCTTTTCTTTTCGCTAAGTGGCTGTAATTACAAATACGTGGAAGATCCAGGTGGTGAGACATTTTTATTTAGCTCTTCAGTCACAATGTGTTGCAAGTGTTGGGCTAATTGCACACATTTGGAAATAAAATGAAAGGGGTTTTTTTTGGTTTTGTTTTTGTTTTTCCTTTTCAAACATCTGTGTAATGGAAAAGGTTAGTGCCCTTTTACCTTTTCTGTGCTCTTTTCCTTCTGAACATCATTTCTGCTCCCACCCCTGCTATCGTGTGTGGAGCTCTTCCCCTTCTCCTTATGCACTTCCTATTAGGACTGAAGTGGCTTATGTAGATAAATTGCAAACTTGTGAGTTTAAGCCAGAAAGTGTGAGATTACTTTTTTTGCTTGATCTCCCCCTTCCATGAACAATGTGGACCCAGGATTTGGGAATGGATGTCTTCTGTTCTCCCTGTACACACCCAGACAAGACATGTGCTTCCTTTGGGTGGGAAGGGCAGGTTTTTTCCCTCAACTACCTTTTAACTAAGGAGTTAAAGATCAGGTTTTCCTGCTCCTGGTGGCTACACTCTTCCTCTGTAGTTAAAAGCAGGCAGTGGTATGCAGTTCTTGATGCAAAAATAACAGTCTGGGGTGTCCCTCCATCTCCCTCCACCTCCCTTCTGTGCTCTGGGCATCACAGGCACTTGCTGTAGCACTTCTCAGCCTGTCTCACAGCTGTGGTCAGAGCACATTGTCCAGGAGGCAGAAGTGGAAATGAGCCTGTCCCAGGAGAAGAGGTTCTGGGGGTGTCCTTCCCCTGCTTGGGGCTAGAACAGGGGCTGGCTTATGCCACCAGTGAGCTCTGCACTGAGATGGGAGAGGGTCATACGCTGACTCTGTGGTGTCTGGCTGGGGACCCAGCCCTGCCCCCGTCAGCCAATATAGCCAACACCAGGTGCTGTAGGTGTAGTCAGTAGTGCTCAGAGTGAATTGTGCCGCCTGAAGGGTCTGTTCAGGGGTGTACAGCGTAGTGTAAACTGCTCAGCATGCTTCCCAGTTCTATCTGCAGGCCCATGCTAGTTGCAAAGCCGACAGCAGCTTGTTCTTGTACTGAGATTCTTCTGCCGTAGTGTGGTTGTCCCCGAGGTTTCTGACCCGTGATGCTCATATGCTGACTGTGCCACTTAAAGTTACATTTGACGCACTTGTATTTATTGCACTGACAGAAGAGAAACACTTCCTTGGCTCTGCAGAGGAACGTGCACATTCCAGCTCATGCTGCTGCTGGCAGCTGGCTTGGGGCAAAGCGCAGCCGGAGCCAGGGGCTGGCTGGCTGCCTTCCTCCCGGGCGACAGAGCCGAGGGTCCAGCAGGTGAACTGCTGGGGTTGGTGGTCCCAACACCGCCATTCCCAGTAGCAGGCCAGTGATACGCTTGGAAATTTAAACCGAAATGTTTATCTAAAAGTGGTGTAGTTTTAATAAAGGCATTGACTGCTGATCACTTCAGCTTCAACCAGTTTACCTGGCAGTTTTTGGGACTTCTTTTCCCCAGGTGGGCAGGTCAGCTGGGTGTGTGGCAGGGCTGCAGTAGGGCTGTGGGGGGAGATGGGCTTGCAGCCAGGACTGGGCAAGTCCAGCTCTGGGCGAGCAGCTCTTCTGGAGCCCAGTGGGTCTGTGCCTGTAGTCTGGCTGCAGGTGAGGCTCTGCTTCCCCACTGGGGATGGAGGAAAAGGGAGCTGCCTGTGGGATTTCCAGCACAGGAGCTCTGTGTGCCATTTGCAGGGTATCCCAACACCGTACCCCCCACCCCCAGTGCATACAGGCAACATGCCAGGGGTGCAGGTAAATGGCTTTGGCCCTGGCTAGCCCAGCACAGCCTCTGGTACCAGCTCCCTCCTGTACACAGGCAAGACTGACCCTTCTTCCATGGGTGTGCTACCCCCAGGATGGTGCCAGCACTGTGCCAGCTGGTGGGGACCACATCCCATGAAGCCACAGCTGAGGAAGGCCACCATGGCTTCAGGTGTCATGGCCTGGAGTAGTCACAAGTCAGCCTGAAGTCAAACCAGCAGGTGTTCGGGTGGTTTTAATGAGTTGGTGTCACACAGGGGAGTACTGGTGCACTACACAGCACTACAGGTGTTAAACTCTGACCCCAGCACCGAGGGACACACAGAGCAGCGTGACCCACCTGCGGAGGGATGCAGGAGATGTGATACATGTTCAGCCCCTGGGTAGTGCCCAGCATACAGCTGTGCCTGGAGAGCCAAAAGCCTGCTGGCAGTGGGAGATACAACCCTCTCTATGCAAACATGGAGGTTAAAAATCCCTGGAGTGGCTTGGTTACTGGGCTTTCAGGTAACAAAGAGGCGTGGGAGGAGGCTGTGGCAAGGAAGTTGCTCTCTCTCCTTCTCCTTGTGGCACATAGCACTTGACATTGGTGCCTGCACTGGGGCCAGCTGCTTTAACAGCCAGCCCCACCTTCTCTAGGTGTTACTGGGAAAGGGGGTGAGCAGAGGCGCAGACAGTGGCCTCACCCTCCTCTAGCTTTGGGACTGGAAGACCCTACTGGAGGAGATGCAACATGCTCTCTGTGTTGGCTAAACCTGCTTGTGGGGCAGGGTCAAGGAGGCCAGGGCAGGCTGCATGCAGGGGGAGAGGGGAGGATTTAGTTGGAAAGCCCTTGTTAATCATGGAGCACAGCTGTGGAAGACTTATCTGTGGTCATCTCACTAAAAAGCACTATGCAGCACATGCAGGCTGGGTACATGGGTACAAACACAGGGTCCTTTTGCCTCTCCCCCAGCCCCTGTTCCTCAGTCAGGGCTCCTCCTCAGAGCATCCTTCTACCCCTCCCACCGAGGGAGAGGTCTTATTTCTGCAGAGCTGAGCCCATCTGACTGGTGGTGAAATGCAGGTGAGGCCTCCCGGGCTGGGAACCCTTCCCTCCTTCCTTCCCTCTGTGCTTGCATCAATCCCGGGGGAGGTTGGGTGGGGGGATTTTTGTGGCAGATGGCTCCACACCCCAGATCTCCCGGGCGTACTCCATGATGGTTCTGTCACTGGAGAACTTGCCCGAGCATGCAATGTTCCTGATGACTTTTTTAGTCCACTCCCTGGGGTCCTGGGAAGAGGAGAGGCAATGTCAGAGGTCAGTCCCTGGCCCAGCTCTGTCCTGGCTCACAGCCTTGCAATGCATGGCCCACACACACTTGGTTGGTTTAAATGCCGTAGTGTGGGGCTGCTGAAGCAAAACCTGCCTCACCCTGCCCCACGCCCACAGGGTGCAGTGTCTGTGAGATCGGCTCCACAGGAGCACACTCACCCCAGTCTCCCCACTGCACTGCCATGGCCAAGGACCCCCCTCCCTCCCCCTCAGGAGTGGCCAGCTCTTACCATGAACAGCTGGTCCACTTGCCCTTGGCATTTAATGTAGGCCTCGTAGTCGGCAAACACCTTAAACCTGAAACCCAAAGCAGAGCAGGGTTTTCCCTGGGTAGGGTCCCAGCCCAGCAGGCAGGGCTCAGCCCCTGTGCAGGGGGAGGAGGAGTGGGCAGGCTGAGAGCGGCCCACCAAAGGGGATGCTCGCCAGGACCCACCTGTCATGGTACATGAGCATGTTCACAACATCCCTGAAGCAACCGGGGTCCCGAGGAGAGAAGAAGCCGCTGCTGATCTGGTCGATGGCCTGTCGCAGCTCT